GTATCATCTTGTCAACTTGTCCTAATCCATCTCACGTCCATTCCAAAGAACTGTCTCTCAGATTTGTGCGCCACGCTTTGCTTCCTCCGTCGGGTGTAAATATCGGCGTGGGCGTGTATTTGTAGGTCAACTGAGGCCAGAGAAGGTTGAAGAGAGGTGTGGTCATTGGGATGAGGATGGACTTGATCGTACTTATAGACTTGATGAAACTTAGTTCGGAGTCAAATTCGTTGGGAGCGGAAAAACGACGTGGTGGAGTAATTTTAAATTTTGCCTCGTGGGCCAACTTCTTTGATATTGCGAAATTTGACTGAACTTGGCTCTGGGAGAATATTTCACTCCCAGGTTCGTAGAGGACACCGCGTACAGGTGTTCAGTCTTGCCCTCCTAATCTCCAGCTCTTACTATAGGATCTGCGAGCCGAGATTCGGAAACACCTTTTTCCCCACTTCGATGATGATTCCCAATCGATTTCATCGTTTTCATCTCTCATCATATTCCCCAACCACCACTCTCATGAAGCTGGCCACCATCAAATCAGATGGTAGTTTCGAAGCCATTCTAATCTCCAACCCTTGATTATGGAGGAAAAGCCATCCGATGAGTCTCTGGGACGTGCCCAGCACCCAATACGGCGATAGTGGATTGGATCAAGTCGACCTCGACTGTCACAAAGAAGGGAGATATAGGTAAATATGCACACCTCGTGTGGTCACGGTTTCTAGGCCTCGCCTGGCTGAGGCTGCAGGTTTTTGGAGACTTTTTCTGACGCAGGCAGTTTCAATTGCTATCATTTTTATTTTTTGGGAAGAAGGTTCCGTGGAAAAGGAGGCTGAACTGCACGGGTAAGAACTGAGGTGAATGGCTATTCATCACGGGCAATATATCAATAATCTTTCAAGTAATAAAAGAGGCAAGGAGCACTGTACAAGGTGTGGCCTGGGTTAGAGAGGAGCCCATTGTGCTGGATAGTATATGACACAAGTAGTAGAATAAAAACATAACATAAATGTCAAAATCCTCCCCGGACAACCCTCTGGCCGTTCCCGGCTGCCATACAACCGCAAATGGCCATCGTTTCGTTGGCTATAGAGGGGAGATAATGAAGGGCAAAGGGCTCCTCTAAATATATGATCGAATGAGGACTTGTGAGAGGTGGTACTGTTTGAGAGGAGCTGTATGGGAGGCATAGGAGGGGATATACTACTGGTATAGGTATCTTTTGCCAGTAGGCAGAGAGCATTTACGTGCTCCGTAGAGTGATAGACTCAGACAGGACGATAAAATGATTAATTGTAATAGCCCTCTGGCCGTGGTGATTCGATGGACTTGTGACCTGCCAGTTAGTCTCGTTGCCCAGGCGTACGAAAGACTCGTTTCGGAAGGCGCTGCATGAGACCCCCGATCCCCTGTTGAGTAAGGCGCTATGAGGGGTCTAACCCCTAAGGCGAATATGCGCTCCACATTTCCCCACTACAAACTACGCAATGTGGACACTGGGTATGTCGGACATTTAGGTCCTGTGCGTTCGTGCGTAAGGGTTCCGAAGTGGCTTAAGGTGACTTGGAACTCAAAGCACGCCTGTAATAAGTATCACGGGATGCCTGTGGAGTTTGTTAAGTCAGATGTAAGTTGTTCGTTCATAATCCTAACAGGATACTCCTAATGTGACAAGCAAGCTAGTACATAATTACATAATAAGTTCCCACTAATCTTCTCAACGCAATATCTCGTGACCTGGATACACAGTCCCTTCTTCCTGCAGTACAGGGATACCTACACTAGTTATATATCACGGGATTGATCCCTTGGGGTAGGCGGCAAAGACGAATTTTTGATCCTTCAATGATGCCAGCGTATTCGCTGAGCATGCTCTGCACATGTAGGATGGCCGAGAAGAATGGCATCCGAATCGGAGTTGAAAGCAGACATCAAGCATATCCATCATCGATGACTGTTCATCAATATCGGTCTTGTCATTCCCACGCGAGTCCTCTACCTTAATATTCGACTTTGCTCTATGTCGATTTAGGGTTTGTGTGTCTGTTATCACAGACACGGGAAAATATTTATGAAATTACTTGATGAGGAGTTAGATTGCATTTCCGATACATTATGACTGAAATCTTGTCCCCTCAATCAGAGGCTACAATGTCTATATATTTACGTATTTACACCCAGATTCACCATCTAAGCTAGCCATTCTAGATCTAGCGTGCAAGACCAGTTTTTTTGCATCGGATTTAAATTGCGTGTGCAGCTATCTGGCTATGACACAAACTTGAAAGACCTGGTTCATCCTGTGATTCTGGGTTTGAGCGACAGTATCACGAGAGCAGTATTCTTTTAGCTACTACAATACGTTGCAGCTTCAGATATCCTTTACTTAGTTATACTTCCGCCTGAGCCACATGCCTGCTTGACATGCGGTACGCTCGGGGATCAATTAACTAACCGAGGTCAGACCTTTACAATAACCTTAAAAAAGACCCCATCAACCTGTAAGGCTTCAGGGCGCCAAATAAGGAAAGTTGAGTAAAAAGAAAAAAAAAAGAAACTTCCGACTAGAACCTAATCCAAACACTCACTCTTACCACTCTGCACTTCGCCTCGGCAACTGATGAAGACGATGTCCAATTGTTAGTCAGGAACTCACCTTTGTAATCACTGGCCATCGCCCACTACCGCGTACACGACGATACCAATGTGCTTCATAGTCATAGACTCAGTAGGGTCATAAATTAAATCGATTCCGTTCTATTCTACGACGATACGTATACCTATAAGGAGGAAATTAAGTCATAAAATACAAAGCTCTGGTCTTGGTTACGGGGGACTGTTGCCCTAATGGATTTATACAACATGAGGATGGACAGGCGATGGGGCGTGGGGCGTGGGATAAGATTAGTCCGAGTTCCCCTGTAGGAATAATTGGTCTGATATTTTCGAAGCGATTTCGACTATGGAGCGTATTTTCTTATCATATTCTATTCAGATTTTTAGGTACTTAGCTATGAAAATATGGAGGGTTTGTGGGTACGAAAACCAGGGTTTCGGCTGATTAGCCAGGACTTCTATTGTCGATGAGTCAACGCCACATAAGAAGTTGGGCTAAGCAACGATACAGCAACCACACTCTACCCACACTTTTCCGTCATTTCATCACGGACTTCGGGAAAGGGTTGGATGGAAGCTAGAAGGACTAAGAGTGGATTTCCGAGGTTTCCACAAGTCTGGAGCGCTCGACCGCCTGGCCTCTCTGTAAAGAACTCTAGAATCAGAGGGGTTTGCAATTGTTTCCGGCTTCCCTACACTCGTAAAGTCGTTCATAGTCAAGATCAAGCATATACTTTAATTATATTTTATGTGCCCGATAATGGCCATCGTTTCGTTGGCTGGAGAGGGGAGATAATGAAGAGCAAAGGGCTCCTCTCAGAGTATCACCGAATGGGGACTTGTTGGGGGTAGGACTATACGATGGGAGCTGTATGGGAGGTAAAGGAGGAGAAATACTCCTGGCATAGGTATCTTTTTCCTGTAGGTAGAGAGCACCTACGTGCCCTGTACAGTCACATATTGAGAAAGAACAACAATAATAAGAAACTAACAAGAATCATAAAAGTCTTTTTTTCATTTAACGTGTTTTCCGCTATCTAGCCGTGACACAATATCATGGAAAAGTGCATTATAGCTGACTCGACATAAAAGAGGAGCATACATGTCTCGGCAGGATCGAATTCGTTGGGAATAGGATATTGAATCATTGCCTCTTGAGCCAATGTCTTCGGAATTTCGGAATTTGATTGATCTTGGCACCGGGAGAATATCTCACATCCAGGCTTGTAGAGCACACCGCGCTCAGGTGCGCAGCCCTTGACTTCCGAAACTATTTTCATAACGTTGTCCATCCTATCGGTACTGGAAGCCCATTGGTGGACTGAGATCCGAATGTGACGGAAGCCAAGTTGGTGATGAATAAGTCGATTTAAAAAACTAGATGAGAGTGATATCTAACAACTAACAACAGCTACTTTTGAAAATCGATTCACCTCGTCAAACTGCTGGCTAACTACTTTACCTTTTCCCTGATACTTGCTAACAAGCAAACTATCATAAGGAGTCAACACGCTATGACGCTGCTTCGACCTCTTGGCTAGTAGTGTTGTTTCGTCCACCTGACTCAATACATCCCTAATTTTTCTTGTACATATATCATCGTGGAGCTAGAGATTCCACCTAAGCCCAAACATTTGTCAAACCTGAACACATAAGCAGCTATGGTAATTTTTTCCAATTTTGCCTTGTAACTCGTTGAGACATCCGAACCGCATACATGTTTAACGATCAAGAGGCATAGACAGCATCATATCAAGTGTCATGGGCCCTTTGACGTTTTATTTTTACAGAAGCTCGATCAGGGGCTCTCTCTCAGATTTTTGAAAAGTTAGACTTCGGTCTCTGCGTGTCTAAATTCATTGGTTTGACTGGAGTCTTCAAAGTAGGACTGTAACCCAACCTAATCAAATTTAGTTGTAAATTCACTCTTTATAATAAGGCCGAAGTAACTATGAAGAAAGAGGCGGTACTTGGGTATTATTACCACGATAAATAGCTATCCATTGATAGCACTGTGTTAGGTGTCTTATCTCTGTTGCGAGATTTTGAAGTCATGCTGCTGAACACGGCCTGGGTGGTCGACGGGTTCCGTATGCTAGATTGTTCTAGACCCATGTAGCATCATACACATCGAGACAAAAACAAAAAGTAAATTATGACAGCCAAAAACTCGCTTAGTTACCGGCTCAAGACCCACATTTAATTATTTTACCCCTGATTTAAGCTTTCATATACCAGGGTGGGGGGGAATTTTTTAAAATTTTTTGTACAGAGTGGGGAATGAATGAAAGTTTATTCGTGACGGGCATAAGCTATGCACTCAAAGAGCACGACACGGAGAAGACTATGTGCGACAATAAATAAGTTTGACAGTTGAACTACTCATGTATTGGGTGCAGCACAGGGGAGGGAAAACAAGTACTATCCTACAGATCTTTAAAATTATCTGGATATCAGGACACTCAGTCAATTGGACTTGTCCAAATTCATTCTTCAGTATCTTCATGTTTTCCGCAGTAATTCCTAAACATGATTATTCATGTTGGTTAACTGCTCTTGCACTTGCGAGTGGCATTTGGTATTCCTTCATCATTGTCGTCCAATCGATTGGTTTCTTTCAACTGTACGTCTAAATTGCTTGTTTACCATTTTTTACTTCTACCGCTTACTCTATGCACAAGATTTCGATATTATTCCACTAGACCGAAGAAAGCTTTATCTCCAAATCTAAAGCCCGATGAAGTACCACTGCTGACAGTTCTCCGACCCGTTCAAGGCCTTGATCCGTATCTCTATGACTGCCTACGTGCCTCATTTCAGCAGGATTACCCACTGGATAAGTTGGACATATATCTATGCATAGCTTCTAAATCGGATCCTGCAATGCCTGTTCTTCAACGCTTAGTGACCGAATTTCCGTACGTTAATGCGAAGATATTTATTGAAGAGGAAGATAGCTATCTGGTTGACCAAAAAGACGGCATTGCGAACACAAGGCTTGGTCCAAATCCGAAGATCAGAAACCTTAGCCGAGGATATCGTGAAGTCAGAGGTGACATCGTATGGATCCTGGATTGCAATGTGTGGACAGGAAGTGACGTTGCTGGTAGGATGGTCGACAAACTTTGTGGCTACACGGCCAAAGGCGGGAAATCTATTCCCTACAAATTTGTTCACCAATTGCCACTGGTAATTAATGTTGATTGCACAGGTGTGGACGAGAGGAACCCAGGGTACTCATTAATGGGGGCCTGCTCCAATATACTTCGTCGACCCGGTCATAGTTTACAACAACTATTTTCCCTCAATAAATTTGGTGGCAAACTGGAGGAAATGTTTATGAGCTCGTCGCACGCTAAATTCTATACTGCGATCAACACGGTATCAGTAGCCCCCTGTATCGTCGGCAAGTCAAATATGTTTCGCAAGTCACACCTTGACTATCTCACGGCTGGGGATTTACAGGGGTTAGATTACTTTTCGAAGAGTATTTGTGAAGACCATTTGATCGGAGACCTGATTTGGAGACAGAAAGTAGTTGAAGAGGTAAGAGGACAGAAGTATCATCGTCATGGACTTCTTTTCGGGGACCTTGCTATCCAACCTATGGCTGAAATGTCTTTAACGAAGTACATCGCAAGACGGGTTCGCTGGCTCCGAGTGCGAAAGTGGACTGTTCCACTAGCAACGATGATAGAACCGGGAATCGAGCCATTTTTTTGCTCAATGCACGGAGCCTTTGCAATAACTCATCTACCATGGGTGAGCCAGAACCTTGGTATTACGCAGACATGGTATACATTCTTAATAGTGTGGCTTATTAGCATCTCCGTATGGATGTTGATTGACGCACTTGTGTACGCTCGCCTACACTCTGGCGCATCGACTAAGATTACTTCGGAAACTCCAGTATTCGCAAGGCCTGCCAGTAAGCCATCTCTAAAAAAAACGAAATCGTGGATAGTAGCATGGTTAGGGCGTGAGATACTGGCTCTCCCCATTTGGATCTGGGCCTGCCTCTGTGGAGCGACAGTTAACTGGCGAGGAAGACTCTTCCGCGTCAGAATTGATATGACGGTGGTAGAGGTCTTTCCACAAAATCAAGAGGCTGGTGGGAATCCGTTATACAGAAAAATCACTTAATGCAACGATTTATTCATCGACTCATCCATGCAACCCAAGTAAGGTGATAGCTAGTTTCTCGGGATTTTTGAGTTCTCTCTATGGATTTCTCCTATTCATGATAGTTTTCTTCAAACACATTCAGTTTCACCTTAGGCAACACGATACTACGACTATCTCTCTAAGATTATGTACAATTTAATATATTAAATTCATAGGAATTTTTTGTTGCCTAATAATTAATATTGAAAAATGACATGTTTACGAAAAACCAACTAGCGTTTTACCCTGCTTGTTCGAGCAATGTCACTGCGTGAATCCAACTTTTTATCAATAACCTTGCTCCCACCCACACATTCTTTGGGCTTCAGCATAGCGGCTTCAAGAGAATATTTGGTGTATTCTATCAACTTCGATCATGCGAAAAATTAACAGAAATACAAATTCTGAGGGCAGTCGAGCTCAAAAAACTCTGGGGGATAAAGGTATCTAAATCACGACGATACTTTTTAAATAATATGACTAACCTGCTGCATCGGTAGATGAGATCACGCTAACACTAGTAGGATATTAAGGTGGCCATAAATGCCTCGTCACAGAATATTTATTCGGTGGACTCATCGCACGCTCAGACGAGCGAGAAATGACGTTCTAGAGTAAATGTATGTCATTTGAATGCCGTTGAGAGGGCTTGAGAGGAGCCTTGATCCTTCAATCAAAGTAAGGATTTTGGCCTTTGAGAATGTAATCAAGAAGATACTAGTAGATCCTAATCGAATGACAGATGCAACAACAGATTTGGGGCTGTTTGTCTCCGAGACAGGCCTTAGTAGCGGATCCACTTAAAGCAATAATATAAACTTGAATATGTATTAAAGGAGAAAAATACATCTAGGCATCGGAGCCGTTATCATAGTAAAAATGAAATAAGATCAATAGTATGTGCTTCAGATGTGGAGTAAAAAACCCTAATTTTTTATCTGGCTGGAGTTAAGAGACATAATTGTATGTATTTTTTTTGAATATTGTACTACTTCGGCCTACGATTATCAAGCACATTGGTCTCCTTTCTGATCCAGGCAGTACATTGCCTTCTGCTCCTATCCTATTTTGCTATGATAGAAGGTCTCAGACATTTTTTCAAACATCTGATTGTTTGGAACCTACTGAATACAGTAATGAGATGTTACGGCGGGTGGTGAACGAAGTGGGGTTTGCCGTCTGCTGAAGATATTCTAGTAATGACTAGGCGAGTAAGTACAAGACGACATAGACGGGTAAAGTTAGGGGTGTTAAACTGAACGGGCGAGGCGTAAGAGATTAGGACTGAAGAACGAGAGAACGAGAGATCGAGAGATCGAGACGAGTAATATGATTCTAGAGACTATGTGGATATAAGATTGAGAAGCTGAAGAACTACTTTAGAGTAACTCCAGCTTCCTTAAGTACAACTTACTACGTGCTAGATTTAAGTGAGGCTTTGGAAGATTATGTCATGGTAACCCCCTCCAACTCTAATTGTCAGAGTATTCCCGGATGTTTTCTCATTGAACCTTTTTCTGAAAACTTTCTCCTCGAACCTTCAAGGATGCCTGGCCATAATACTTTTCTACCCTTTCACTGAGCGAAGTTCCGAGTGAAGATAATGTTTGGATGGGTACCGGGCATAGAACTTGTTGAGTGCTTCGAGGTCTCTAACAAATTCATACGGCTCCCAGGTTGGTATTGAATCGCCTAGGTACTTCGCTAGGAAAGGCTTAGATCCTCGTGGTTTTGCGTCGAGTATTTCTTCCACCACGTCTTCGAATTCACCATTGACGATAACTGACGGGGGTGTAAGTTTGACCTGTCCTGGCAACGGATCGATTGCTGCTGGTTCCAGAAGCAAAACTTGAAATACCGGGTGAATTTTTATGGTAGATGGAAGTTTTAACTCGTATGCATGGGACGAAATTTTCTTTAGTATCCTAAAGGGACCTAAATATTTATGGTCTGGTTTATTGGAGGGTCTAATAGTGGAGATGTGTCTTTTTAGGAGTCACACTTAATTTCCTTCTCTGAAGACTGGCGGGAATATATGGCTTGAGTTTGCATTTTATTCTGATACTTGCTGAGCGTATTTGATTTCGGACTGAATGAAGTCCCCGAGTTGTTAAAGTTTTTGTTGGAAATTTTGAAGTACTATATGTTTATTGTGAGAATGAGAGGAAGAAAGAGCGAGAATCTGATATCGAGGGTTAAAGCCATAGTTAGCAAAGAAAGGTGATACTCGAGTTGAGGAAGAAATGGAGTTGTTGTAAAAAACTCAGCTATAGAAAGGTAGCCGTGCCAATTACCTTGCTGATAATTAATATACGCTCGAAGATATTGTTCAAAAATTGCATTAACGAGCTCAGTTTGCCCATCGGTCTGGGGGTGAAAGCCGCTGTTAAAATAAAGCTTGATTGAAAGACATGAAGCCATTTTACGAGAAATTTTAGAGGTGAAGACTGCATCCCGATCACACACTACTGTTTCTGGAAGGCCATGTAAGCGGAAAATATTATCCCGAAGAAGGATACCTAGTTCCGAAGCTGAACAGGTAGTATTGTGGCAACCAAATGACCCATTTTCGTGAGCCGATCAATAACCACTAGTAATGTATCAAAACCCGCTGAAATTGGGAGACCGGTTATAAAATCCAAGGATATAGGCTCCCACCTTTTTTACGGAATCTCGAGAGATTTGAGGTATCCGTAAAGAGCGTGACGTACTGATTTCATTCGGGCACAAGTATCACAATTTCTAATGTATTGGTCAATAGATGTTTAGATTTTTGGCCACCAGAAATGGCACGAGACAAGTTCCAAGGTTTTAGCCCTACCTGGGTGACCCACAGCAGGGTGATCATGAGAGGCTGAAATAGTTTTTGTATGGAGAGATTCCGGTACATAGATCATTTCCGAGACAAGGAGTTCGCCGCTGATTCGACATGAACCAAGATCGACAGAAGGATGGCGAGTGATAGATGATTTTAGTGTCCTGATAATTTGTTGGCCAATAAATCCGAGTCGAGATAGTTTTTAAACTCCTTAACCAACGAGTCATCCAGGATAAGTGCTGGGGGCTTTTCCTTAGCCCCTAAGGGCAAACAAGTTGTGACAAACATAGGGTGGGTGTATCTTTGAATAGTGCAGTAATGTAAAAGGTCCAAGGAATTCGGAAGTACTCGAAAGTCGTTGACTCAATAGGAATTAATTATTTTTCCTTGGGAAGCTAAACTACTGTATCGTATCCTGCCTTTTATGTCTTCCGCGTACGCTAGTGTTAACTCCCCCCTTTGGCCATACGAGAATACTCCTTTCTCCCGGCTATCTTCCTTAGCTCCCTGAGAATCATCCTTTCTCCCGGCTATCTTCCTTAGCTCCCTGAGAATCATCCTTTCTCCTGGCTACCCTCCTTAGCACTATGAGAATCATCCTTTCTCCCGGCTATCTTCCTTAGCTCCCCTTTAGTCTATCCAGGGGCGTTGCTCTGCCACTACCTTACCTTAGAGACGGAGTGGTCTTAGTGACCAGTCCCAGTCCGGGCAAAGCCCGTCACATTACCCCCCTTCCTCTTCTAACTGTCCTTTTTCTTCCTTGTCTGGCTCCTTCATTCTCTCCGACGTTGTCTCCTTTGCCGTACAAGGCTTCGAAATGGTCCATGGCTTCCACATCCTCTAGATCAGCCCGATCTTCCCATGCCGGTTCGGCGAAACCCTTCCATTTGACCAGTACCCGACGTACCCATCCTCTCCCTCGTCGCACCTTTTCTGCCCTTAAAATCCGTTCGACCACTTGTTCTGGCGTTGTATTATCGCCATCTTTTATCATCCATGGTGAAGGTTGCGCGTCATCTTGTGTCTGAGATGGTAGTGGATCTTCATTAGCCTTTCGTAGCAGTTCAACGTGAAATCTTGGCCATATCCTAGACGGAACATCCAGCTCTACCACATGTGGTGATATCACCTTTACTACCGTGTATTTTGCGTTGACCCACGCTAACTTCTTTTTAGGCTGAGGCGTGGAAATATTCTTAAGGCTGAGCCACACCTTATCGCCCACATTAAACTGCGGCGGAGGATCCCTCTTTCTATTAGCCTGCTCCTCCATTATCTGCTGTGCGGCCGCCATAGCTGCTGCCGCGAATCCCTGTGCATCTCGTATCCTATCCACGAATTTTTCAGCTCGTTTGGCTCGTGATGAAAGAGGCTCTCTTGGCTCGGACGACTTTAGCTGTACCGGCTCTGCGTGGTAACCGTGTTCCAGGAAAAACGGGCTCAAGGTTGTGGCCGCACTATCCCTATTATTGATCGCTAATTGTGCGGTAGGTAACATTGATGCCCATTCGATTTGTGAGAATGATATGAACGCCCGTAGGTACGCCAAAACCTCCTGGTTCATCCTCTCTATCGCCCCATCGGTTTCCGGGTGGAACGCTGTAGACAAGCGTTGTTCGATTTTTGTCAGCTTGCATAAGTGTCTCCAGAAATCTCCGACCCAATTTGAACCCCTATCCGACGTTAAAGCGTGTGGGAATCCATGGAATCTATAATGACAAACTATGAAACGTTCCGCACATTCCTCAGCATTCATGGTTTGCATGGCTTCCAACGTGACGCTCTTAAGTAAGCGATCCGTGATTACCATGAGGTACTGAGGTTCCCCCTTGCTCTTCACTGGAAGGTCCGTCATGAAATCGATCGACAACTCGCTGTGGAAACGCTCCGGCACCGGTAAGGGCAACAGCAGTCCCTGCCTTCTAGAGCGCCACACCCTTGTTCTGCCACAAACATCACAGTTCTTGCAAAACCTCCTAACCATTTGGCTCATCCCTGACCAGAAAAAGGATCGCGATAGGATAGCAATTGTGTTATTTCGTCCTGGGTGTCCCGTTACATGCGAGTCATGCGTTTTTTGAATAAGGGCCGTATGCAAGGGTTCCCAATTTGGTACCCACAGTCTTTTCCTAAAGCACAACGCTCCCCGCATGTCTAACTC